ACTAACAGCTGCACTTTTTATTTCTAGAAGGATAGTAGCTTGAAAGATTTTTCCCAATCAAAATTAATAAATGATGAATAAAATTAAACCAAAAATTTTGTAATCCACAAATGAACTAACAGAATATAAATGAAACGCAATAACTAAATCAAAGAGAAAAACATAACCTTGAGAGGTAAGAGAGCACCGAGGCTAATATTAACCCTGAGGGTTTCTGTTCTTTAGTAAGAATAAATTCTACGGTCACACTTCTCTTTTTTCATTTTGTCACAATGACTGTGGAATATAATTGAAAAGCAACATGTTGACATAATTAAAATGGCATTTTTCATTAAGAACATCTTCATTTCAAGCAGTGTCCGTTAATATTGTAATCAGCCGAGTATGGTGTTTCTCTAAATATTCCTTTCCATTTTATATGTTTAAAAAATACATAGCAGCATAAAAATAGCAAGTCCTGAATTTTGCCTCCAGAAGGACTATATCTCGTCCCTCAGACACATACTATGGAATAAAGAGTCTTGGCTGGGCGCAGCGGCTCACACCTGTAATCCCAGCACTTTGGAAGGTGGAGGGGGGCAGATCATAAGGTCAGGAGTTCCAGACCATCCTGGTCAATAGGGTGAAATCCTGCCTCTATTAAAGATACAAAAAAATTAACTGGGCGAGGTAGTGCCTGCCTGTAATCTCATCTATGAGTCTGAGGCAGGAGAAATGCTTGAACCCGGGAAGCGGAGGTTGCAATGAGCCCAGATCTCGCCATTGCACTCCAGCCTAGGTGACAGGGCGAGACATTGTTTCAAACACAGACACACAGATACACACACACAGACACACACACACACTGACCAACAAACAAAAACAAACCCCCTAAATACTTCTCTCCAAGAGTGATGCCTTGTTTTCTTCTATGTAGAAACTAAATATTAAAATAAGAAGCCCAAGTAAACCAATGTTCTATGCCAGACAGAACAATGTATTTCTTATTGTCTGTGCTTCTTATATTAGATAAGAAATTTGTGGTATTCCATCAGTAGAAATTTATGCTGAAATTTATTAAAAATTTACAAGGCACAGTAGGTATAATGAGGTTATTAAAATGAGTAAAATGTGATCCCTTTTCCCAAGGATTTTATTTGAGGGGAAATAACACATATTCAGTAATGTCAGACACAATGTAAGTATTGAAAGAGATTTAATCACACTATTGGTAAAAGCATATAAAAAGATAATATATTTCTGAATGGAAGTATCCAGAGAGGCATCAGAAAAGCTAGTCTTTGAGTAGAAAATGAAAGTCAGAATCAGGGGAATGGATTATTCTATGGAGAGGGAGTAACGTGAAAAACAATCTAGGAGTGAAACAAGTAAGTTAGGAGAGGCTCAGGTATTTTAATATCTAAACTAGGACATGGTGTACTTTTCTCCCTACCAGAAGAATAAAACAGAAATGGAGGTTGTGGCCATATTTTAATAAACCTGAACGTTATATTTAGAAGTTTGTTGGGAATAATGAAATTCCTTAAAGGTCTAAAGTGTAGCAGTGACATCAGAATGATGAAATAATTCATTATCACTTCTAATTCTTACATGATTTTAAAATTATTTTAAACTACAGATTCTATTCTAATGAAAAGTGAGAGAGTATATGATATGGTTTGGAACTGTGTTTCCCTCAAATCTCATGTCAAATTGTCGTCCCCAGTGTTGGAGGTGGGACCTGCTGGGAGATGGTTGGATTAAGGATTAAGAATGATTTAGCGCCATCCTCTTGGTTCTGTCTCCACAACACTGAGTGAGTTCTTGTGGCATCTGTTGATTTTTAGTGTGTAGCACCCCACCACCTCCACTCTTTGCTCCAGCTCCTATCATGTGCAATGCCTGGCTCCCCCTTTTCTTTTCAACGTAATTGAAAACTCCTTGAGGCCTCCCCAGAAGCAGATGTTGCCATACTTCCTGCACAGCCTACAGAATTGTGAGCCAATTCAACTTCTTTTCTTGTAAATTACCCAGTCTCGGGTATTTTTTTATAGCAATTTCTTTTTTTCTTTTTTATTTTTTTTTTTTTGAGACGGAGTTTTGCTCTTGTTACCCAGGCTGGAGTGCAATGGTGAGATCTCAGCTCACCGGAACCTCCGCCTCCTGGGTTCAGGCAATTCTTCTGCCTCAGCCTCCTGAGTAGCTGGGATTACAGGCACGCGCCACCATGCCCAGCTAAGTTTTTGTATTTTTAGTAGAGATGGGGTTTCACCATGTTGACAGGATGGCCTCGATCTCTTGACCTTGTGATCCACCCGCCTCGGCCTCCCAAAGTGCTGGGATTACAGGTGTGAGCCACCGCGCCAGTCTATAGCAATTTCTTTATAGACTGAACTAATAAATACAGTATAAAATAAAATAATCTAGAAATAAATGCTTGAGTAGGAAAACATTAGGCACAAAAATATGATTTAATGATTTGCAATATAAATGCATGTAATAATGATTGCATGAAAAATAGTATGTGCCAGTAACATGTTTGTTATTTAATACTTCATTACTAGATGTTGAAATACTTTTGAAACAATGGTATTTTTCCATTATATGGAAACACCCCCACATGTGCCTTGTAAACCAAAAGTATCTGAGACAAGTCTCAATCAATTTAGAAGGTTTATTTTGCCAAGGTTAAGGACACTCCCATGACACAGCCTCAAGAGGACCTGAGAACATTTGCCCAAGGTGGTTGGGGTACAGCTTGCTTTTATACATTTTAGGGAGCCCTACTACATCAATCAATCCACATACGATTTACATTAGTTCAGTCTGAAAGGGTAGGACAACTCAAAGTAGTGGGGCGGGGGTGTTTCAGGTCATAGGTAGATTTAAACGTATTCTGATTGGCAGTTGGCTGAAACAGTTATCAGTAACAAAGAATGTCTGGATTAAGGTAAGGGATTGTGGAGACCAAGGTGTTTTTTCATGCTGATGAAACCTCTAAGTAGCTGGCCACAGAGGGAGTGGATTGCAAACATTTCTTAACAGATTTCAGGTCTGTGTTGCTATTAGTGTAGAGGTATAAGGAGGCATGTCCAACCCCCTGCTTCCCATCTTGGCCTGAACCAGTCTTTTAAGGTTAAATTTTTAAATGCCCTGGCCAAGGAGGGAATTCATTTAGATGGTTATGGTGGGTTCTCTGAATTTTATTTTGGGTTTATAGCCTTAAAATATGTAGATAAATTGGTTAAAGATTGGTGCCATGACTTGTAAACTCAAAATATAAAAATAAAGCAACTAACAGGTATGTGATTGAAGTAGTGATATTCCCAAAATAAAAATAAACATATACATAATTTCAAATATTTATAAAATGAACACTAACAGATGCAATACGTAGGTTAAAAAATTAACCAAATTAATACTTAAAGCTGTTGCTTCTCAGATTTTATTGTACAGGGGGAGCTTTTTCTTTAGATATAGATTCGGGTTCAGGAATCTGGAGAAAAGCCTGAGATTCTCCCAGGTGCTTCTGCAGGGGATGCTGATGATGTTAGTCAAAAGACTACTGTTGGATGTCAGTTCCCCAGAAAACTCATTTCACCCTTTCTGTATTGCCCTCCCTGACCACTAGAATCAACCATGATGCTCTATTTTGTTTCGAAGAGGACCTTGATTTTCTTTACATCTTAACATCTCAATATGTGTCCCAAAACTTTGTATGAGCTTATGTGTTATGTTTTAACTACCAGATTCAAAACTTGTATGTGGAATATGAGTTTTTTTATTACTTAATATTTTAGAGGTTTACTTATAGCTGATTATAACTGGTCCATTTATTGTTCTGCTGTATATTATTCAATTGTATGATTATACTACTACAATTTATCTGTTTATCTTTTGCCAACATATATAAAACCAACAATATAGTATTATTTCTGTTATGAAAATTCTTTTTTTTTTTTGGGGGGGGGAGGAAGGCAGGAAGGGAGGGAAGAAGGACGGTAGGGAGGAAGGAAGGGATGAAGGAAGGAAGGAAGGAAGGGAGGAAGCAGGGAGGGAGGGAAAAGGATGGTAGGGAGGAAGGAAGGGATGAAGGAAGGAAGGAAGGGAGGGAGGAAGCGGAGAGGGAGGGAGGGACGGAGGGAGGGAGGGAGGGAGGGAGGGAGGGAGGGAGGGAGGGAGGGAGGGAGGGAGGGAAGGGAAGGAAGGAAATCAAGCAATGAGAGAGACATTGCCGACCTGGATCTAGAGGTTTACAAGTTGATTTCTTTTTTTTTTTGAGAGAAGGAAAGAAAAAAAAAGAAAAATAATAAGTAAAGGAGAGGAAGAAAGAGGAAGAGAAAGAGGGAGAGTAAATGGAAATATTGCTTTATTTTGAAAAAAATTGAGTATTAATAATGGCCAATCAATGTTTCATTTAAACTTATGGGTAGGTGTGATGTGGTATTGACAAGAATGTATAATTTGTGTATTTGAAGTGGAGAGCTCTATGAATATTTATTAAGTTTACTTGTTCCGGATCTGAGTTCGAGTCCTTGATATCCTTATTAATTTTCTGTCTCATTGAAAATTCTTAATATATGTCCAGAGTCATGTGTGCAAGAATTTCTCTGGAATATATAAAGGGAGGAAAATGTTTGATGTTTTGGTACTGACAGCTTTTTTATTTTTTGAGACAGAGTCTTGCTCTGTCCCCCAGGCTGGAGTGCAGTGGCCCGATATGGGCTCAGTACAAACTTGCTCTCCTGGGTTCAAGCAATTCTTCTGCCTCAGCCTCCCTATTAGCTGGCACTACAGATGCATGCCACCATGCCTGGCTGATTTTGTGTTTTTAGTAGAGACAGGGTTTCACCATGTTGGTCAGGTTAGTTTTGAACTTCTGATCTCGTGATCTGCCTGCCTCGGACTCCCAAAGTGCTGGGATTACAGGTATGAACCACCATGCCTGGCTATTGCTGACTGCTCTTCTTAAAGTTAATTTTTAAAGGCAATTTTGTAACTTTATTTGATGTATTTGATGATCAGCAATTAGTTCTCATCCACATTGACTGTATATTTTTGAATGTGGTAACAGGTACATAGGTAACCAAAGTATAGAGCTTATTTGGTGACTCTTCATCCTCATTACATTTTCCGGACAACCACACACGAATTAGGTATGGGACATTCCTTATTCCTTTGGCCCAGACAGCTTTGGTGAGCCTGGTATCGATGTCCATGTTTGGAGTTCCCATATCCTTCCTGGCAAATTTCTGAATCTCTTTGAGTGCCCGAGAGGCATGCTTCTTGAAGCCCACTCCATGGATGTGCTTGTGAATGTTGATGGTGTATTCTCCGGTCAGCAGCTCGTTGATGGCAGAACGCCCCCTTTTCTTCTCACCACCCTTCTTTGCAGGAGCCATTCTGCTGGGCCCAAGTTGGAAAGGATGATGGCAGCTTTTAAGCTTCATCTCTTCTTGTTCCCTTCTGAGCAAGCTGATAGGAAAGCACTGGTGCTCTCTACTTTGTTGCTGTAGAAAGCCCCCACCTCCTAAACTCCAGAAAAATCCCCAATTAGTTTTGTTTCTATGTACATTTACTTTTTTTGGATCAGCTTGGAAAGCCTGTCTTGTGTCTCCCAAAATGTCTCATTATATGAAAAATAAAGCTTTGTCTTTTTGCTTGCTTATATGGGTGACACAGTCTTAACATCTGAACCATATTTTGGAACAGACCCAGCTTAAATCCTCAATGTAACCATAACACAAAGGATAAGCGAGAAATTTCAAGTTTACCAGGTAGCATCAAATCACTTTCTAAAAAGTTTGTGACAATTTGTAGTCCAATCAGCAGAGGCTAAGAACTCTCACTTCTTCTCATACCTTCCAATGCCTGACACTGTTATATTTTTAATATACGTGCACCTAGTGATGACAAATTGAATCTCATTGAGTATTTGCTTTTAATTCTCTTAATTAATAATGAGTTTGAAACAATATTTTCTGTTTCTTCACCACGGGAGTTTGTTAGTATTCTTTATTCTCTGAAATATCTATAAATATGTTGCTTTTTAAAAAAATCTAATTATAATAGCCTTGTAGGAATATTAAGTATATTATAAATGTAAATATTTAAGATTAAGCATATTATAAATATAACAATTTTAATATTAACATGTGATTACTTTTCTCCAATTTGGTATTTATACTTTCTATCAATTAGCAGCATTTTTAGTTTTTTAAATTTTTTCGAAGACAAGTTTTCACTCTTGCCCAGGCTGGAATGCCATAGCACAATCATAGCTCATCACAGCCTTGAACTCCTGGACTCAAGTGATCCTCCAGCCTCAGCTTCTCAAAGTGCTGGAATAACAGGCATGAGCCACCACACCTCACCCCTGCATCTGCATTACCCCTGCATTTTTAGCAAACAGAATTTCTAATTTTAATGTGGTAAATGTCAGTTTTTTGCATCTTGTTGCTGCATCTTTTAGCTCTTCAAAAAGCTTAACATTTCAGTATTCACTTTTATACATTTAAGTGTAAATACTGAAATAATACACTTACTAATGCATGTATGATGTAAAGAGAAAAAATTGAACCCCTTGTATTTTTTTCCTTATGGAGGAAGCATTTTTTTCCTAGAAATATTTATTTAGTAGTCTATCCTTTCTCCATTCACATGCAATATCATCCCTGCCCTATACTAAGTGACCCATGTAAATCTGGAATTGTTTCTAAGCCTAAATTGGATGAAATTAGTAAACTTATACCTATCTGTTCTGCTTAAGAAAACGCTTATTTATTTTTAAATTTATTTTTAAATACTTTCATATCTAGTATCAATAATTTCCTCCACATTATTTTTGTCTTGAAAGGTGTTATTCTTGAACCTTTATTGCTCCATTTAAAAATATGAATAAATTCCTCCATGTTTTAAAAAATGAACCTCTGGAGACTTTATGTAAAACTATAATTAATCTTCAGATACATTTAATAGAATTTACATATTTAAGATGTAATTTTTTTTTATCTCTGTTTAAGTCATAATACTCATATGAACTTCAACAGAACATTTATGAGGACTAAATGTGGTTACAAATTCTCAGGGTATGTATGTATATTTCTCTTCCACCCAGTAGCAAATTTAAGATAGAACATTTTTCTTTTTTGTCTACCCTCATCCTTTATTTTGGCTCCTTGTGGTGACATCTCTGTGTGGAAAGAGCTCTACAATGATGTATCACAGGGTTTATACCTGTCTTCCAAATTCTATGCAGCGTTCAATATTTTCTAGGTAAAATTTCAAAGTCAGAAATATCTGCTTGATTAAATGAAAGTATCTGCTAAATCAATTGAATTATCCATAGTGAGCTAGAAGCTCTGTTCCCCAGAGATGGATATTTGATGATCCCTTTGCTTCTATATTTTCAGTCATGCAACTTCTTACCTACGTATATTTCATTTTTAAAAGTTGCTCCTTTAATTTCAAGTTCTTCTCTAGTTTGTTTACCCTATTTTTGTAAATTTTATGATAGTTACTCAAAATAGTTGCATGCTATCTAATTCTATAGCCAAGAGCTTATAGTAATGATTCTGAAGAACTTATTTTTATTCCTTTTACATGACCTTAGATCAGATGTTCATAATTTTTTATTATTCTTTCTTTATGGCTATTAAAACATTCCTCTTCTCCCTCTTTTTAAAATTTTTATCTTCTTTATATTTAGAATAACTTATCAATGATTTGATAGGTTTTTTTTTTTTTTTTTTTTTGAGACAGAGTCTTGCTCCATCGCCAGGCACCAGGCTGGAGTGCAGTGGCACCATCTGGGCTCACCACAACCTCCGCCTCCCCGGTTCCAGCCATTATCAGCCTCAGCCTCCAGAGTAGCTGGGACTACAGGTGCGCATTACCATGTCCAGCTAATTTTTGTATTTTTAGTAGAGAGGGGATGTCACCATGTTGGCCAGGATGTTCTCCATCTCTTGACCTCTTGATCCGCCCACCTCAGCCTACCTACGTGCTAGGATTACAGGCGTAAGCCACGGCGCCCGGACTGATAGTTTTTTTTTTAAATGAACTATTTAAATTTTTGATATTAATATGCTCCAGTAGTCTACCTTTGCTCTTAAGAACATGTTCTTTTCCCCCAGAGATGCTTTCCCACTCAGGCCCACATTTTATTTTATTGCTAATGCCCTTCATAGCCGCGTCTATTGTTTAAGAACAAGACACTCATGTTCGTCATCTGCTGACTAGAGTTTTATATGAACGGCCTCCGTCCATTAGTGTACAATATCTTTTTCTAAATGTGCTCTTTCCCCATCTAGATTTTAAATATATGGATAGCTGAGAAAATGTCATATACTGTTTTTGCTACCCTCTGGAAGAACTGCAATGCATTTGGAGAGGGGAAGAAACATTCTTCTATCTTAGGTTAGACAGTTACTTCCAACAAATTAGAGTAACAAAGGACTGATTAGCAGGAAAAAGACAAACTTTATTAAATGCCAATGTTTTCTTTTTCTTTTCTTTTTTAAATGTGCAAGTAGGTTTTCATAAGAAGTGAAGACACAAAGAAGTAGTTAAACGGGAGCTTTTGTATTATCCTGACAAAGGAAAATAAATTGTGGATAGGCAACAAAACAAAGGAAAAGAGTTTTGGGTTTCATGGCCAGAAGATTGTGTGAAGGTAAACATCTCTGAGGAAAACTAATAGAAGATAACTTACGTGGTAAGGTTTGTTTGTGCAGACTCAATTCAGTGTCATGCCCATGTCCTGTGATAAAGGCTGTTCTTCCTTTCCTGTTACAAAAAGGAGGCATCTTCACAAAGGAAAATTTATCCCCTGTGTTGTCTACATGTTGATATAACTAGCAATTTGATTAGTTATTTTGTGCAGGGTTTGGAAAACTGGTGCAAAGACGCGTCTCATGTTTGGGCTTGACTTGTTGAGAGAATTGTAGAGTTAATAGATGCAAGACACTGAAAGAGAGCTCATCGTGGGAGATTAGAGGGAGAATAAAATAGACTGAGGCAAGCAATCTCTAGTCAGCCTTTTAGTAAAAGGGAGATAAATAAGTTGGGAGGATTTTATTGCAAAGATCGAAAGGGACTGTTTTCTTTTTTTTTTTTTTTTTTTTTTTTTGAGACGGAGTTTCGCTCTTGTTACCCAGGCTGGAGTGCAATGGCGCGATCTCGGCTCACCGCAACCTCCGCCTCCTGAGTTCAGGCAATTCTCCTGCCTCAGCCTCCTGAGCAGCTGAGATTACAGGCACGCGCCACCATGCCCGGCTAATTTTTTGTATTTTTAGTAGAGACGGGGTTTCACCGTGTTGACCAGGATGGTCTCAATCTCTTGACCTCGTGATCCACCCGCCTCGGCCTCCCAAAGTGCTGGGATTACAGGCTTGAGCCACCGCGCCCGGCCTGAAAGGGACTGTTTTCTTTCTTTCTTCCCCCCACTCCCCATCTTGAGGAGAAAGATAGCAAGGGGAAAAATGACTAGGTAAAGATGAAATTCTTAACCCATGATCAAGAGCTGCTTACTTTGAGGTGTTTTTTTTTACTTCTGGAACCTAGGATTTGAGTCTTAAAATCTTTAACATAAGGTCACCTATGGAAATAGACATCTACTTGTCTTGAGAGTAATGATATAGACCTAGCTTGGCACGGCTATGGAATCCTTCTTGGTGAAGTGACAATGCATGCTTATCCTACAGATTTTGATGTGTATTTGATTTCCTGGTCAAAAAGGATGGCCCATCTTGTCAGTCAGCAGAGGCCACATGTGTTTTACCTGTTGATGATAGCTTCCAGCATACTAGTTAGCTATTTTATATACGTAGTCGAGGTATCCAGTTGTTCACTCAACTCCCCATCATGTTCACCCCACCAAGGTATGGAAAGTTTTGAGATGTCACTAGGCACAGAGTGACTAATAGCTATTTCAAAAGTGGTTACTTTATGTCACTTACATGAGAAATTCTGGATTTTTATAAAAACGATAGGAAATGCTTCTAGACTCTTACATTTAGGGTTTTAAAATAAAATATATTTTGCTAAAGTCCTTTGTATATCTGTATTTTTAGACTTGGGATCTTGATTGGGGATAGTATGGCATATTTTGGTTTCTGATGTAAAATAATTTCCTTGGTCTAATTCAATCCACAAAGAAATGCCAAGTGAGGAATAATCTCAATAGGCCAGGCACAGTGGCTCAAGCCTGTAATCCCAGCACTTTGGGAGTCTCAGGTGGGTGGATCACCTCAAGTCAGGAGTCTGAGACCAGCCTGGTCAACACAGTGAAACCCCATCTCTGCTAAAAATACAAAAATTAGCCAAGTGTGATGGTGTGTGCCTGTAATTCCAGCTACTCAGGAGGCTGAGGAAGGAGAATCACTTGAACCCAGAGGTGGGC